TTGAGACGGAGTTTCACTCATGTTACCCAGGCTGGAGTGCAGTGGCGCGATCTCAGCTCACCGCAACCTCCGCCTCCTGGGTTCAGGCAATTCTCCTGCCTCAGCCTCCTGAATAGCTGGGATTACAGGCACGCGCCACCATGCCCAGCTAATTTTTTGTATTTTTTTTTTTAGTAGAGACGGGGTTTCACCATGTTGACCAGGATGGTCTCGATCTCTTGACCTCGTGATCCACCCGCCTCGGCCTCCCAAAGTGCTGGGATTACAGGCGTGAGCCCCCGCGCCTGGCCGACTAATTCTTATATTTTTAGTAGAGACGGGGTTTCACCATGTTGGTCAGGATGGCTTCAATCTCTTGATCTTAGGCATGAGCCACTGCACCCAGCCATTATTGGAATTTTTTAATCTTCTTGGTTCTGCTATTAATTACAGTCAGAAGGCATTGCCTGGCAGTGCCTTTGTCTTAGGTACGTGTTTCCTGATTTCCGACTGGTTTATAGATTAAAATATGTGACAAGTCACTTCGTTCAGTTATCTCACAAATTCTCAGAAAGTAGCATGGTTTAAAACTAGATGTTTTGGCCGGGTCAGAGGCTCACACCTGTAATCCTAACACTTTGAGAAGCCAAGGCAGGTGGATCATGAGGTCAGGAGTTTGAGACCAGCCTGACTAAGATGGTGAAACCCTGTCTCTACAAAAATTAGCTGGATGTGGTGGTGGGTGCCTGTAATCCCAGCTACTCAGGAGGCTGAGGCAGGAGAATCAGTCACTTGAACCCAGGAGGCAGAGGCTGCAGTGAGCCAAGGCGAGATCGCACCATTGCACGAGACTCCATCTGAAAAAAAAAAAGAAAAAAAAACCCCAAAAATTAGATGTTTTATTGGGTTGTTTTCTTATGGCTTGAATGGCTGTTGGTTTAACTGGTTTTGTTAAAAGATTGTGCTTTGGAAATAAAAATATGGAACTTGATTGGCCATCTTTAAATTTTCTCATCATTAGACTAGGTCCAAACGCATTATCAAAAGAAAAGATTTGGCACTGCTTTCAGGCTTCCCTCAACTACCCTGGGTGGCAAGATGGCCTCCACCCAGGGAGGTTTCTCTGTTTTTATAAAGTCCAACCTACCTCGCTTCACTATTGATTAAGACATTTGTGTCATTATTTATTTGATAATATAGATGAGCTGGGAAACATAATGTCAGTATCTTTCATTGCTTAGTACCTTTCCAAACCTCAGCTAAAAGAAGTGGTATTCAGGAAGCATTGCATGAGGGATGTGCCAGTCAGTCCCCCCATTCTTCTGGGTCAATGGTTCTTTGATGGAACACTGAAGTCAACCGGGAAGCTAAGAAACACATATGCCAGGGTCTCCCTCCCAAGAATTCTAATTTAATTGACCTAGGGCATCCAGACAGTGTAAAAGACTCTGGTGAAACTTGAGAATTAGCTTGACTGAAGAGCATTAAAAAAAGTAGAGACCCCACTTTTTGGGGGCATAATCTAAATGTGATTATTCCAGGGTAGGACTCGGGCATCAGGAACTTTTAAAAAATGTGCTAGTCATATCAGTATACAGACAAGGTTTAATATGATTGCTTAAAAAGAAAAAAAATCTGTACCTGGTAGGTTTTTGTTTACTTGTATGTAGATTTTTTGCTTTTATTTGGAATGTAGCATATGAATCCCAGTTGCCTTCGTTGAAATGTGCTTTGGTAAGAGACTGTCATTCTGTGTTGAGAGAACGGGGAGAAACAATTCCACAGAACTCGTTTCTGTGACTGCTGAAAAGATGTTCATTATATTACTCTATCCTCTTTATGAGGACCCTTGGGAGCAATTTGTCAGTTAGCATTAGAAATGGTGAGCACTGGTAAAGTATGTGGAAACAGACTGAGGTCCTCATCAGAAGCAAATGCTAGCACCATGCTTCTTGGAGAGCCTGCAGAACTGTAACCAAATAACCTCTTTTCTTTATAAATTACTCAGCCTCAGATGTCCCTTCATGGCAACACAAAAGGTCTAAGACATTATCGTAAGGTTTTTAGACATCTTACACTATGTATAAGACGTGGTGAAATACTAATTAGAAGCACAGACAGTCCGTGATTACAGTGGTTTGACTTACAGTTTTTCAACTTTACAGTGAGTTCATTGGGATGATTAAATGCATTTTTGACTTAAAAAAAAATGGTGTGCTTCTCCTGAACAATTGGCTTGCTTTTGTCTTTAAACTAGTCTAGCTGATCAAGTTTCTTTCTTTACTTAAAAGGAAGCTGGATGCCAAATCTGCGGCCCACCTATAGTAAGCCTAAAGATCTTCATGACATACATAGTTTAGTAACCGTGTTACTACATCCATTTTTTTTTGTCCCTACGTTTGTTTGCTTTTGTGTTTGTTACCTACTTTGAATTGGTTGTTTTAGTATATTTTAATTTTTGCTGTATCTACTTTGTTACCTCTTGAAGTTGGGGTATACATAAAATAAATAAAATTATCAAGTTAGTTTTTGCTACTACCCAGGAAGCTGAAGAGCAGGAATGAGAACGAGAGTGTGTATTGGAGGTGGACACTATTGTATGAACCAGACGTGTTGTCCATGCTTGAAAATCTGAAAACTTGCACTCCAGACTTGATGTAACCTCGATTCCAGCCTCCTAGGTAACAGCGAAGGTCCTTTCTTGGTTAATGTGCCTGACAGGTTTCTCGGTGAGGCTGAATGGCCCTGCGGACCTTTGTGTTGGGCCCTGTGCTGGACACTGGAACTACGAGGATGGATAATTCAATCTTGGCTTTAAAGGAATTTTCAGTGTGATAAAGGAGACAGGCAACAGATAGCAATTAAGGGAATATGCTGGGTGCACTGGAGCATAAAGGAGGTGTCTCCAAGTGTCCAAAATGGAAATCAGCTTTCCACCTGTTTTTCTGTCTTGGTTTTAGTTTTAGTCAAGGAGTGTCTCCATTACTAGGCTCAAAAATCAGAGTAGTCTTTTTTTTGTTGTTCCTCTTCTGTGTT